GCTTGGGGGGGGGGGGGGGGGGGGGAATGTATAAGATGAGTGACATAAATGAAACTTTATTGAAAGTTATTGATCATTTGTGTTTTTTGTACAAGAGACCTTGTAATTTTGCGAGCATTTCACATAATATAACACGTGACGACATACTTATAATTCAAGAGCATGTGGAACAGCGTACGAGATTTTCGAAAGAATGGCCTATTGTGGTATATCGGCAAACCTGGTACTGTATTTAACGCAGAAGTTGCATCAAGGCACGGTCGTAGCCTCAAATAATGTAACATACTGGATTGGTACTATTTGGATGACTCCTATATTGGGTGCATATGTTGCTGATGCTCATCTTGGCCGTTATTGGACGTTTTTGATTGCTTGTGCAATATACTTCGTGGTATGCCTCCTAATTAGTTCAACTAATTCAAAATAGATGTTCTTATGTGCACTTCTTGAATCCAAATTACAAGAGTAATTATCCCTTTTTATCACCACAAAGTTAAAGATGTGTAAATGAACTTTGTTACAGGGCATGTGCCTATTAACACTAGCAGTTTCAGTACCTGGACTAAGACCTCCTCCCTATAATGACATCAATGAAACAGACTGTCCCAAAGCTACCACACTAGAATTGGAAGTTTTCTTTACTGCTCTCTACACTTTAGCTATTGGGACAGGTGGAACAAAGCCTAATATCTCGACCATCGGAGCGGACCAATTCGATGATTTCGACCCAAAGGAGAAATCCCAAAAACTTTCCTTCTTCAATTGGTGGATGTTTAGCATATTCTTTGGGATCCTTTTTGGCAATACTGTTCTTGTTTACATTCAGGATAATGTGGGTTGGGCCCTGGGATATGGTATTCAAACTGTTGGTCTTGCAATAGCTATTACAGTTTTCTTGGTCGGAACTCCCTTCTACCGGCATAAGAATCCCAACGGGAGCCCATTTACGAGAATGGCCCGTGTTATAGTAGCTTCTATTAGGAAATGGAAGGTATCCATTCCTGAAGACCCAAAAGACTTTTATGAATTTGATGTAGAGGAGTACACCAAGATTGGAAAATTCAAACTTCAACCCACACCAACCTTAAGGTCTGTAATGGATATAATTTCATTTGTATTAAGTTATGTTGATTATCATGAGTAAATGAAATAATGTGTGCAAATTTGATGCAGGTTTCTAAACAAAGCTTGTGTACAAATCAACTCAAAGAGTCCATGGAAGCTATGCTCAGTCACTGAAGTTGAGGAAACGAAACAAATGCTGCGAATGCTACCGATATTAATTACCACATTCCTTCCAAGTGTTATGGTTGCTCAAAGCAACACACTGTTCATCAAGCAAGGCTCCACCCTAGACAAAAGAATGGGGCATATCAAACTTCCCCCTGCCAGTTTAGGTGCATTTGTGACAATAGCCATGCTCGTTTGCATCATCCTATACGATCAAGTATTTGTCAAGATTGTACGAAGGCGGACTAAAAATCCAAGAGGCATCACTCTTCTTCAAAGACTCGGGATTGGTTTTACACTTCATATTGTCATTATGGTAATAGCCTCGGTGACCGAAAAGCACCGGCTTAGTGTAGCGCAAAAACACAACCTAGTCGAAAGTGGAGGACAAGTTCCATTGACCATATTTATTTTGCTTCCCCAGTTTATACTTATGGGGGTGGCCGATGCTTATTCAGAAGTGGCCAAGATTGAGTTTTTCTACGATCAAGCACCAGAGAGCATGAAAAGTCTGGGAACTTCATATTCGATGACTAGTGTGGGAATTGGGAACTTCCTCAGCAGTTTTATTCTTTCAACTGTTTCTCACATCACTAAGGAGAATGGTCACAAAGGATGGATACAGAATAACCTTAATGCCTCTCGACTCGATCTATATTTTGCATTTCTTGCAGTGCTTAGTTTCTTGAATATTATTGTATTTTTAATTGTCTCGAAGTTGTACCGATACAAGGATGAAGTCTCCAACTCAATGGAAGTGCTTAAAGAAGAACTGGGAAGGGCCAAAAAAGAATCTACGAGAGAAAGAATGTACAAAGCAATCAAAAGATGATCTGAGGTATGCCATTGTACTTTGTTTTCTGGCAACTAAGGTATTGTAATTCTAAAACATTACCTAATATGCTTCTAATTTATCAAAGGTTGTCGAAACTCACTTGAAGCTGAAGAAATTCCATAATAATTTGATTGATGCCTTTCCTTTCATAGTACTTCTTGGTCCATACTCGAAAGGAGTTCTTTGCCACAATCTAAATGCCCTTTATGTGATGATTTTATGTCTAAAATGGTGATTTCTTGCCTTTTGAATTTTTTACCATTTTCTATACTAATTTTGTACATTTTTTCTTGAGAGAATTCAACCTCTCACTTTCATGTGTCAAATGAAATCAAGGGAATTGTGATTGGTTATGGGTGATGGGTAGTTACTCAAATCAAATAAAAACTTCTCCCTTCCACCCACATCATTCCATTTTCAATATCTTCTACCCGCATATGATGAGGTTGACCTAAAACCAACAATCATCAATTAGATTTGTCTAAAGTTCTAACTCACAAAGTTCATAATGAAAATGGATTGTGTGACCTGCGAGTAAATTAAAGTATGCAATACTATCTACTTGTTAGGGATATATATTAGCTCTCTTAAGAGGAATGTCATTTCTCACCATTTAATTTTCTAAAATCTTGTTCAAGTATTTTTGATCCCTCAATTAGCCAAGAACATACTTGAACTCTATCATATATTGTATTCATAATTGAATCAAAATTACCTTTTCCACATAGAATTACTAAGTCTCTTTGCAGAGTATATAGGTATCAAGATTGGCGTTTACTCATAGGATGAACTTATACTTAAAAGTGTGGATTTTCATAGACGTAACCAATTTGTTAACCTCTAAATCTGGTTGGGACTCAATGCATCTACATATCCAACCTATGCTCCTCTCCAAGTGTATGTTACCTACACACTTGAATGCATGCGCTAGACACGCAAGACCAAACCCTATCCAAACGCAAAGATGGGGAGGCCGCAACCACAAGCTCTTCACTGCATAAGTAAGTCGCAAAAAGTATCTAAATGTATTAAGTGTAAAGTTAAGTTTTTATAGAGATGAGGAGGATACTAAAAGTTCATTACCCCTGAACAGCGCAAAATGTGAGTATTTATAGACGAGTTAAAGGAATGGAGGCTCCCTGAATGGTGCAAATACGTTATTGGAGAAAATTGTAGCAGCGGTCCCTAACTTTTTCAATTTTTGCAGACTTTATCGTAACCTTCAATTTGTACAATCAACGGTCTCTAACTTTTCAAAAATGTGCACATAGAGTCCAAATGGAGGGAATCCGTCCACATTTCTGTTAGTTGACAAAAAAATTATTTTGAAATTATTTTATATATTTTTAAAAGAGCAAAATGGTAACTTTATATTTTCTATTATAAACAATTAAACATATTACATCAAAAAAAGAAAAAAAAAGAAATGGAAGACGTCTTCTTCCATCCCACCCCACCCCAACCCACAGCCACAGCACCTCTGCCTCCATCTCCAAAGAACCACCGCCCGTACTAACCATCACCTGTACTAACCACCACCACAACAACATCCCTAAATCCATCATCTAATAATTATGCAAGTTTCAACAAAAATTCACATTCACAAAATACACACAATCGGAATTTGTTTTGCTATTCTTCGGATCCATTGAATATGCAACATTCAAACGCTATTTCCAGCCAGAACAATAGTGCCCATGGTCGTCGCCATCCCTATCCAACATCCCCATATCATGGCATACTGATAAGTATGTTTTTACACACTGATTTGGTTCACAAACATGACTTAAACATGGATAAAATGGTTGAATTGTGACTTAATCTAGTTAAATTCATGCATTGTAGGTAATTCAATGGAAATTATGGAATTCAGGAGAAAAGAGCCGAAGAAGGACCAAAACGCAACAAATTGATAGTTCGAGGACCAAAGGTGCAAATATTGAGAAGTTGAGCTAAATGCAAAACGAGAGTAAAAACATGCCGAGTATGAGCTCAAGGACAAAGCAAAACAAGTGGGGGAAGAAAGAATCGAAAAGGGACTGAATTGAAGACAATTGAAAGATGGAGGACTAAAGGTGCAAATACTCAAAAAATGTGCCGAATGAGTGGCATGAGATTTGATGGTGTCAATCATCAATTGGAAAATAAAATTTGTTGAAAAGATAAAGAAATCAAAGAAAGAAGTCAAGAGAAGCAACAAGGAAGTTCAGGGACCAAAATGTAAGGACTACATAGTTGGTTATATCTATGCGACCGCATAGTGTAACCATCTATGCGGTCGCATAGAAGGTTGAAGGGAATTTTAGAGGAAAATTTATTGGTCTATGCGACCGCATAGAAACCTTCTATGCGGTCGCATAGTGATACTTGGGGGCCTCCGTTGCAGTTTTTTGTTTTCGTTGAAACTCTTTTCCTACTTGATTTTGACGCGATATAAATACCCAAAATCATCAAATTGAAGGGAGGAACGACCAGGGAGAAAAAATACACTCAATTTGAAGGCAAGAAACACAATCTTGGGCTTGATTTCACAAGAATTCAAGAAGGAATTGAAGATTACACACAAAATTAAAGGATTAACATACGGGTGTATTCTTTATATCTTTTAATTTTGTTTTAATTCTTGATTCTGTAATTATGATCATAGGCTAGGGTTTTTATTCATTAGGAAATCGATGAACCTTTGATTATTTAATTTCCTTTATTTCACGAATTCAATATAAAGTTTCAATTGGACAATTGTTTGATTTATATGATTTGATTGCTTCCATAATTATTGGCCATATGTTATGTGAGTTTAGATGATTTATTCTTTGCATTCGAAAGAAGGGGAATAGATTCGATATAATACAAATTAACATAGGGTTCGATAAGGGATAGAAATATACCCCTATGCTTGATGCAATTCATAAGGTGTTCATAAAAATTCATGCATTCTTGTATATTTGCATCATCCATAGAAATATAGGCTGGTGTTGTGCAACATAGATTCGATATAATATAAATTAACATAGGGTTCGATAAGGGATAGAAATATACCCCTATGCTTTATGCAATTCATAAGGTGTTCATAAAAATTCATGCATTCTTGTATATTTGCATCATCCATAGAAATATAGGCTGGTGTTGTGCAAGAGTAGATTCAATATATATCGAGAGAGTATATTGGATAGGTTTAGGAACATTGAATTGTCATTTTTCCATCGATTCGTTGAATTTGTGAAATTAGGGTTTTTAATAGTCAATTGGGGATTCGAGAACCTAATGATTACATTTCAATTTATTTCTATACATTAACTTCCAAAATTGCGTATTTACATTTTAATTGAGTTTTTGAGTCATTCAATTAGTGAAATTTCGAAATTAGGGCTTCCAATTTCGAAATTAGGGTTTTCTTTAAAAATTAGGGTTTCAAATTGGGGATTTCTCCCACAATTAGGGGTTTTCACATTTAAACCAAATTTTCATTTAATTAGATTCGGTTAAGGTCACATTAGTCTAATTAGAGCTAATTCAATCCTCGTGGGAACGATACTTGGACTCATAGTCCATTTTACTACTTGTTAACGAACCGTACACTTGCGATGAGTTTTAAAATTGAAAGAAATACATTTTGCGAACACATACCTATTGACACCGTGGGTTCCTGCCAGTTCCAACAGACTATGCAACCCATTCTTCCAGTTTGCATACAGTGTGCTCACGAGAACCGTTTTCTCCTCTGATTATTCTCTGACACCGTTTTGATGAAAGCCTTCAATTGGCGTGTTACCAAAATTTGGGGTTAAAAGGTTATTGGGTTACCAAAATTGAAAGGCTACTGGGTTACCACCATTTGGTTTTATAGTGGTCAGATTTTGTCGTCGTTGACGAGATTTTGCTAATTATTTTTTGCTAGATTTCTGTTTGCTGGTGGTGGCATTGAAGTTGGCCAGCTGTGGTTTTGACTATGGCTGCCTGTTTTTAGGGACAAGGTTGGGGTGGGAAAGAAGACAACTTTTTTTATATTTATTTTCTTATTCTTTCAGATTATTTTGGTTTTTTTGTTTGTTTATTTATTGTGTTAATTTTAAAGTTACCATTTTATCCTTATTAAATTTGGTCAAAATGATTTTTGTAGTCAACTAATAGAAAAGTGGACGGATTCTGTCCATTTGGAATCCAGATGCACATTTTTGAAAGATTAGGGACTGTTGGTGAGGTTAGGATAAAGTCTACAAAAATTGAAAATGTTAGGAACCGCTACTGCAATTTTTCCTACGTTATTGCTATGGTAAACAGTTTCAACAATGTACAAATATATGTGTTAACAAATATATTATTGAAATAACTTAAATATTGCTGGTCTACTTCACAGCAAGTTGGTACAAATGAACAAAATCAAAGGCAAGGTACATTATTCTATTATTTGAGGCATTAATGTTCTGTATTTTTGTAACCTCAAATAGAAAATTGTTGCATAGGGCAACTATCGATAGTGAGCAATTATGAATAGCATTACACTTATTGAAATGAATCAACTCCAAAAATATGGGATTGATTTTGTGTGCTTCATGGTCAATGTTGTAGTTTGACCCAAATTCTAGTGGGTTTTGACGTTTTGGTCGAAGTGGTCTTCAAAAAATTAAAATTATGGATCGAAAAGAAAAGTCTTCACATTCTCACTAGTCTACTACTAGCTGGCCGCTCGATCGGCACTTTCATATTTTCTCCTAAGACCTGGTGCCCGTCTGTCTCTTGAGCTGTAAAGCTATCACGGCTTACCGCTAGCCGTCAGATGAGCAATAGGGTTACCAACTCAGGCTCGTTTCACATTTTTACGCGTCTTTTGGACTCCTATTTATCCACAATTTGATTTCTATGGATTATTTATATAAGTCATGACTTGCATTATTGTGTGACATTCAATAACATCTTGAGAGCTAGAGAGCTTAGATTCCAATTGAGAGTATTGAGATCTTGATATTGTAAACATAATTACTATTTAGCCCCTGTTTGAGCCCCATTTCTTGGAGATTATAATGTTTTGAATAGTGTTTTTTTTGAAAAATGAGTGGTTGAAAAGAAAAGAACAGATTTTGATTTACGTGTAATATTATATTATTGAAGATTGTGTGGTTAAAAGTAGGAGAGGG